GGCCGATCTTCGGCTGGAAAAATTTAACCGTGACAATAGCTGTTGAAATATATCTGTTGTGATCAATCTTTTGTGATGAATCTGTTGTGACGCAACTGTTAAGACAAAAAAAAACATATTGTGGTGCGGCTGAAATACGTGTTTTGAAAAGCTTTTATGATACCACTCATGCGGTATGATAAATTATATATGTGACTTATCTTATGTGATAAAGAAGCTGGCGCACGTTGACACGACGCATCAACTGTCATATGGCACTCGGTGACATGGCGCATCAACTTTCATATGGCGCATGTTGGCATGACGCATCACGGCATCAACTGACACGCATGAAGCGCATCATGCGTCACGCAAAGTCTCTTAACCGTGCGTGATCTCACGATCAGTATTCAGTGAAGAGCGAGTAATTAATCGCATTACTGCGCCCTCCCGCGCTTATCAGTTAAGAGGATCAGTTCACCGCCTGGGCCGCAGCCGGCAGTGACCACCCTTGACCTAATATCTTTCTTGATTATTAATTTTTTCCGTACAAATTTTACAGTTATTTGTGAGTATTTAGTTCAGAGTTAGCTGCTTTTCGTGAGCATTTATAACAGAGTTTACAGCTTAATTACAGTTATTCGTGAGCATTTAGTACAGAGTTTACAGTTATTTGAGCGCATTTATTGCAGAGATTACATTTGTGGGCATTTAGTACGGAGTATTCTCCAATGTTCGTGAGCACTTATTTTACTATGGGTGTGAGTGTTATGAACATTTAGTATTTGTGTTAAATAATGCCCATAACATTTTTAGCGATATAATTAAAATATATTGTTTGAATTTGAATAAATAGCAAAAGCCGTGAATTGACGAGGCTGTTTCAGAGATTTTCAAATGAAGTCTGAAGAGTCAACTAAGCGTTGAAACTAAAATATTGAGAGTAGAGATTTATAAACCTATGTAAAAACAGCGCCATCACTGCTGTTATAGTTTCCTGATTTTGCTTATAACAACGCAGCTGCTCTCCCACGTGACGTCACGTGACGCGGAACCAAGTCACGTGACCACCGTAGGCTGGCGGCGAGCATCTTGTTGAGAACACGACAAGCGTTTAGCAGATCACCTTCACGTTATCGACCTGAAGTCCTCAATGAGGTTGGATGGTCGATGATGTTAGAGGCAAGTTAATGGCGTCAGGACTGAAGAGCTAAAGACTTTGGTGATGCGAGTTAATGGTGACGAGACTGAAGAGCTAAAGACTTCGGTGATGCGAGTCAATGGCGTCAGGACTGAAGAGCTAAAGACTTCGGTGATGCGAGTTAATGGTGGCGGGTCTGAAGAGCTAAAGACTTCGGTGATGCGAGTCAATGGTGGCGGGACTGAAGAGCTAAAGACTTCGGTGATGCGAGTTAATGGTGGCGGGACTGAAGAGCTAAAGACTTCGGTGATGCGAGTTAATGGTGGCGGGACTGAAGAGCTAAAGACTTCGGTGATGAGAGTTAATGGTGGCGGGACTGAAGAGCTAAAGACTTCAGTGATGCAAGTCAATGTTGGTGGGACTGAAGAGCCACAGACCGGTGATGCGAGTCAATGGTGGTGGGACTGAAGAGCTAAAGACTTCGGTGATGCATGTCAGTGTGAAAGATAATTTCTGAAATAGAAGCGAAAAAAATTTCTTAAGGCTGAAGTAAAGTAAGTTAAGAACAACTTGATAAATTGCCTAGAATATTGTCGCGTTTGTAATACAATTTGCTGGGATCACATGTTACAAAGTTGTGGGAAGAGGCTGTAAAATATAAGATTTAATTAACAATTCAATGGCTGAGGAAAAGGAATAGTGGCGTCATTGATTATGATGCTATTTTACATCTAAATCGATAATAAATACTAAATTGGCACTGCAATTTCTAGCGCAACGGCCGTTCAAATGAAGCTTGAATGTATGAATACAAGTAGAAAACGGATAATTAAATTTATCATAATTTTTCATCATTTATCAGTCTACTGTGATGAACTTATGAGTCATTGTAGCTGGACACATACACGCAAATGGGTTATCTATAACCGGTGATATGATACAAATCTGTATTTTATAACAGCTAATTAATAACGAATTAATCTCATGAGTATTAAACTTTAATAATAAAAAAATTCATTAAAACTTTTATACCATACATTTTGATCTACAGACAAGTGAAATGAGAGCTCGATGATATCATAACTTCCTGTCAGAACATCATCTGATCAAATGACGTCAAAACATCATCTGATCAAATGACGTCAAAACATCATCTGATCAAATGACGTCATAACATCATCCGATCAAATGATGATCTAGTGAGCTATGCGGATAATCTGCCCGGAATCTCCCTGGAGAACATCATCCGCAATTTGCCGCTCGCCGCGTGCCGGAACGGAGACGCGGAAGCCCTGGCCTCGGAACACGTGCTGCCCTCACGAGGCGCTCCGGTCCGCAAAATGAAACACGTGTCGCGGATTTGTCTAAGCTGTGCACAATATTTCCTCTGAGTAATAATCAGAGTGATTATTTTCTCAAGGCTCACATGGCGGGGTGATAAAGCCCGGATTTTGTCATCTGGGCGGATGGAGCCCTATCATCACCAAGGATCTGTGAAAATTATTCGTTCCTTCGAAGGGTTCGAAATCAAAAATTAGAAACTGAAGTTATGAGAAGAAATATCTTTTTAAATGCAATGCATATCAAAGATGTGCTTCAATGGTCTTAAAAACACTGTCGCATCTGCATGAAAGATCATTTTTTCGCCAACCCATAGTGCAATAGCTAGTGACTATAAGAAGTGATTATCATGGGTGTAGACGTTAAACAACAACTCTATGGTGAATGATGATGGAGTACGAATGCGAAAAATGTAGCGCCATAAGCAGCAACTTTCATATAGGCTCCATATATAACTTTCAGATGGCCTCTCTAAATAATCTACATTTCTCTTATGAGCTCTATTTCACAACTAGTATGTCACTCTCCAAACGGCACATTTTACTAGTTTGGCCTCTATACTTTGCAATATACCATTAGTATGTAGCCTATATTGCAACTATATCCCTAGGAGAGCCTCTATATAGAGACTATATCACTAACAAATAGCCTCTATATCATTCGTATGGCCACTATATTCCAGGTTTACTCTCTACACCCGATATGTTAAAAAAGTATGTCACTATTTGGACAATGTGCCTAATTTTTCTGAGTTATAGCTTGGTCCAGCAAATGAAAAAATTGTGACTACATTTGACTTTAAAACTCAGTGAATATTTATTCATTATATGTCAAAAAGACGATGTTTGATTATATGGAAGCTATTGAAGTTCCCGTAATTTTGTAAATAATAACAAAGGTTAGCTGGTGATGTTTCTTATTCCATGCGACTGACATGCACACCGCACAGCTCCACGAGGGGTCAGCGAGTCTACGCGTGAACATTTCTGAATGGCAACGGATGATAAGTTACAATGATAAGTAACAAGTACGATGATAAGTAATAAGTTCAAGATGCACGGTGTTTTTTTTATTAAGCATAGATAACAAGTACGATATTAATGAAATTTGCTAGCTGGTACTGCTAAATAATTTCCTAGGTCAACTCCTAAGCGTGATTTTCAAGGAGGAAATCTCAGTTTTAGGGTAACTATAATGGAAATTTTACAAATTTTAGGGTAATTTATACGGGTAAACCACAGATCCCTAGGGTAATTTACACGGGTAGATCCCAGATTTTAAGGATAATTTCCATCTTTCTTCAAAGTTGCAATCAACATACAAATGAGCGTAATGGTTAATTTTGACCCAGTAAGGCAGTTCCCAGAAGCAAGAGATATCGGCATCGTATGTGGCGATAAGGATCGGCATGTGTTGCATTCTCACGGGCCAGTTTGTGCTGTGATGGCTCTATATGCTATTACTGCACATTCTACGGTACCTGCAAAGATTCTTTGGTACAGTGCAGATCCTTACTGAACTTACACCGTGCCATTGCATGAAATCACACAAACAAGAAAATTGTCAAGTTTTCTATTCAATTAAAGCAGTTATTTCCGTTAAAATATTATCATTAGACATTATCTTGCCACAGTTTGCGTATCACTATTTTTATCCTAAATCATGAACGAACTGAAAAAACGCGTTATAAAATACGGTATGTGAACTGGTGCAGAAAAAGCGTTGTGAAATACGGTATGTGAACTTGTTCAGAAAACGCGTTATGAAATACGGTATGTGAACGAGTGCAGAAAAAAAACATTATGAAATACGGTATGTGAACTGGTGCAGAAAACGCGTTACAAAACCCGGTATGTGAACTAGTGCAGAAAACGCGTTATGAAATGCGGTATGTGAACTGGTGCAGATAAAAATTGTGGTGGCCTAAACTTTTCGAGCCGAAACATATAACAAATAACTCAGTACTCACTGCAGTGAGTGACAGAGAGCGCATTTTCTCGTCGACGAAAACGTGAAGTCACGGACGGACAAACAGACGGACGGACAGACGAACATGGCGAGCACAATAGTGCATTTTTTCATAAATGAGAAAATGCGCTAAAAAGTTTTCAATCTGGCAATCAAAATTTGATTATAGTAATGCTAAGGAGCCATGACTATGATAAGAATGATTTAGGATAAAAATAGTGATACGCAAACTGGGGCAAGATAATGTCTAATGATAATGTTTTAACGGAAATAACTGCTTTAATTGAATAGAAAACTTGACAATTTTCTTGTTTGTGTGATTTAACAATGCAATGGCACTATAACAGCAATATTTTATCGTTTAATGATATTTGTGCGATGTTGACGCAATGATAGAACAGCAATAGTATTATTTTTTTAAAAACTTTAAAGCTCAAGAATCAAGTTCCAGTTACAAGATATGCCCAATATATAAGGATATAAATACATAAGAATTAATATACTGGATTTCCAGTTTTCATCAGGGACTCAATTATTATTTAAAATATATCTTTTTATTCTTTTAGTAGATAAATTAAATCACTGCAAATTTATTGTACAACTATACGCCTTGATCACTATTAATAAGTTATTTTCTACTAACTGCTGTAATTTTTAATTTTTGTTCGCATTAACAATAAGAAACAATGAAGATCGTATACGTGATGTGGACCCTGGCAATGATGGTGAGTTGGAGGTGTTGTGATGGTGAGTTGCGGGTGTTGTGATGGTGAGTTACGGGTGTTGTGATGGTGAGTTGGGGTGTTGTGATGGTGAGTTGCGAGTGTTGTGATGGTGAATGGGGTTGATATTCACTGAAATGTGCATCATTTGACAACGTTAATGCATAAAAAACGTAGGTCATGTCATTTCTACGCAAGTAGGTTTTAATTTCGATAACTATATACCTTTATGCTCTGCCAGTCTAGCGAAGGAGGTTCGTGACGTCATACATACGTACGCTGATGCGCAATGCACACAACTGTATATTTAATCGAACGGCATAATAAAAATAGGGAAAATATCTTCATTTCTCAAGAATGAACAGCTCTAAAATTAATTGACGAAAAGCAAGCGCTTTAATCCTTGGAATTTTTATGACGTAGTCTCATATGCAGAGCAAATGTTTGGAAATGAGCGATTAACAATAAAAAAATATACTTTTATAAAATCCTGACACAAATTCACTAACTTGTTAAGATAAAAATTTCTTAATCTTATTAAACACCAGGTTTAACGAAAATTTAATGAATAAAAAAATATTATGTTAAATTCAAATTGACAAATGTATACACAGCCCGCTGTGTGGGGCTGGTCGGCCTGCGTACCGCTGTGTGAGGGGCGCGTGGGGGCCGCCGTCCCCGACCCTAGCAACTGCACGCAGTTCTACACCTGCGTGGATGGGGGTGAGTGGGGTGAGTGGGGTGAGTGGGGTGAGTGGGGTGAGTGGGGTGAGTGGGGTGAGTGAGGTGAGTGGGGTGAGTGGGGTGAGTAGGGTGAGGGAGTGAGTGGGTGAGTGGGGTGAGGGGGTGAGCGGGGTGTGTGTGGGGGGGTGTATCCGCAAAATAGGGTGGGGGGATATATTCAAAATTGGGTATTCACAAAATATGGACTGATTTTTCATAAAAAAATACAATCTGTTCTTAATGAACACTGTGAAGTGTTCTCTAAGTTTTGAACATCTGAATCAGGGAAATTTTGACTTATATTTCTCAATGAATTTTGAATCAATTAATATTCTTATACACTATATGAATCTGTGTGCAGTGCTGTGTTCGCATGATCAATGGAATTAAGATGATTCTATTTAATATAGCATTCACATACATTATTAAAAGTTCACGTATCATTTAAATTGTACTCAACAACTTATTTCATGTATGAATTGTGTGTTATTTTATGTGTCAAGTTTCTGTTGCTGTATACAGTATCTGGTTACACGCAGTATATACAGTATATAGTATATACAGTATCTGATTTTATTCGACTGTTTGATATTGCTATTCAATGTTTGTATAAGGGAATTTTCCATTCAAATATATTTTCATTTCCGATATTACAAAAACCTGATTGTATTTTATATAAAATTATCTATTTTCATTTAAAGTCTTCCTGTCCATCCGCGAAAGTTACATTAAATCGCCTTGAATAAATAAACAATTAATTTTACATTATTTCGGTAATAATTCAACAAAATCTTCCCCAGTGACGCCCCAGGGGCCCCACGCCTGCAACGTCCTAGAGTATTTCAACCCCAACGCCCCCGCCGGTGGGGCGTGCGAGCCCCTGTCTGAGGCCCCTGTGGGGTACTGCACCTCCCCATGCAGCCCATGTGATTTCCCCTGCGACATCCCCGGCCAAATTCTCCCCGACCCTTTCAACTGCACCAGGTTCTCCATTTGCCTCCAGACTGGGGAACTTATATCCCAAAGCTGTGAGGCTGACATGTACTATGACTACATCAACCATGAATGTACTACCGACGTGACCATGTGCTACACTAGCTGTACGGAATGTACAAGTTACTGCACACATCCTGGGCAGTTAATTCCTGACAACGCAGACTGCACTGCTTTCTACTACTGCGAACCGCCATATAAACTGCACAAAACCTGTCCTGACGGTCAGAACTTCGACGCTGACACCGGCGTCTGTTCGCCTGACGTCGAGTGTCAGCAGTGCTTGTTTAACGTCACCTACGATGAAGACGATCTTGAAGATTATAGTTTATGGTGATAAAATGATAGTTAATTACTAAATGGGTGCAATGGTTGCTTACGATGTGAATATTGACAGCGAGAACAGTGAAGTGTGATGCAGTCTTAGTGATGGACGGTTGCTTATTGTGGTTATATTGTAGACATCGGTTGCAGATTGTGGTTATATTGTAGACATCGGTTGCAGATTGTGGTTATATTGTAGACATCGGTTGCAGATTGTGGTTATATCGAAGACATCGGTTGCAGGTATCCTTGACTTGGTGAAAGTCGGTTGCGAATGGTGATTTTCTTAAGAACATCTTTGCTTGCACAAATAGATGTACAATTGAAAATTAGTTGCAAAATGGGACTATCTTAGATAGACTATCTATCTATATAGACTATCTATCTATCTCTTATCTTATTGGTTGCCCTCAGAGATGTAATAGTGATAATAGGTTGCAAATAGTGGCTATCGAGCGAATGTCCAGAGGGCGGTTATGCTCGGTACAGATTTTAACAACAAAATCCTTCAAAGTTGAAATGCCCCTAAAGTTGAAATTGGTGCTGCAGTTGAGAAGTTGTAAGATAAATGGTTACGCTGAAGTTGGTTCGGTGATGATCCGCAGCACGAGGTGTTTGTTACATTTATGAGTACGAATTTTTTGGGTATTATTAATAACCTCAAAATAGATGTAATGATAGTCTCATAATGGATGTAATGATAACCTCAGAATGGATGTAATGATAACATCAGAATGGATAGCCTCATAATGGATGTAATGATAACCTCAGAATGGATAGCCTCATAATGGATGTAATGATAACCTCAGAATGGATAGCCTCATAATGGATGTGATGATAACCTCATAATGGATAGCCTCATAATGGATGTGATGATAACCTCATAATGGATTTTAAAGACCAAAAAACATTGCACTTCTAACTGCGAGCATAAGCTGCAACAGAAAGAATACTTCCTCGCTAAAAATATAATTAAGTGAGACTTTGTTAATACATCGATGTACTTCTTACCCTTGCTACTCTTACTCTACCCTACTCTTACTCTTACTACTCTTACTCTTACTACTCTTACTCTTACTCTTGTACTACTCTTACTCTTACTCTTGCCCGGGTCATCGTGACGCGGTTTGACCCGGCAAATAGACGTATTCGTTTTCTGCTCGTGCTTTTGGTAAGGAAGTGTGTCACTATTTTGACAAGATGACCTATATATTTTTCAGAGTACTCTGCTCTGATTAAAAAATAAATAGAGTACTCTGTTCTCAATATGCTCTGATTCTGTAGCTGCTCTGAAGTTCAGAGATGGACTACGTCAAAATACATGCAGGCTGCGTAAGGTAGCAAGGATTACAACAATCTTGTAAAGTATCCATGTTTTATATATTTGAAAAACAACTGTATTTACTCGAATAATTTTTTTTAATTTATAATAATAATTAATGTATTTTCATTAGTGCTCGTATTTAAGATAAATATGCAACCTTGAATGTGAGTGGGGCTGGTGCGCTGCATGGTTATATGCCGAATTATTCAGCCGTAGGGTTTTAAAATAAATGAACCGCTGCATTAAAGAGCTTAAATGAATATTAATAATTATTAAATCAAATTATAGTTTTAATTTTCCTATAACGGGAATTATAAGATTCAAGTTTTAAAATCATCAGAAATTTCGGAGTAAGGATTCACACACCCAACACGATGTAGAAGGCAGCATACATCATACACTGCAGTGCAGGAGGCAGCATACATCATACACTGCAGTGCAGGACACAGCACACATCATACACTGCAGTGCAGGAGGCAGCATACATCATACACTGCAGTGCAGGAGGCAGCACACATCATACACTGCAGTGCAGGAGGCAGCATACATCATACACTGCAGTGCAGGAGGCAGCA